ATTCCTGCAATAAAACAGTGTTTTGGTAAAGTAATTTTCCAAGCGATTTTACAACATTTAATCTTGATACAAAAAAAAAATTTAAAAATTTTATCTTGGATACTAATGATTTCACGTATTTTATTCTTCCAATTCACGTAGAATACAGGTAGATCACGTTAAGTATGTAAGATCGTGGATCCCAATTTGCTAATAATCTAAGATATTAAGTTATTCAGAAAGTTCGTGCTGAATTTTGTTGGGTGACACATAGACATCAAATCTGAATGAATCAAAATTATTGAAAGCAAATAACACGAGTACATATTCTAAAATTATATCTTCGGATTCGACGAATTAGAAACAAAAACTTCTGAAATAAAAAAAAAAGCGAATCATAAGGATCTGTAACAACTTAGTGACTTCGTTATCTTCACAAAAATTGTTAGAATTCGGTTGGAATGTTTTGCCAAATTCAAAGTATTTCTGAAGTTCTCATACATTCAGGATTTCCAGATTTTTCAATCATTACAAAATTCTCTTAATGGGAAAAAAAAAACCTAATCTTTGGTAAAAATTTCACTTAAAACGTAAAAATTTCTGAGAATACCCGGGTTTTTGAAACAGTCTTAGGAAAAATGCAAACAGGTTGTGGTACATGTTCCTAATGGCACTTGGATAAGCCAAGCTCGCCAGACATTGGCTTTTTGCGAATTAAGTCAAGAGAGCACCGCAACGGTGAAAGACGTCTTGGCTCAGAACCCCATGACTAGATGGCAGTACCACTCATTCATGAGGTTATTTCCTAAATTTAGACATAGATCTGAAGAGGAAGGAAATTTTCTCCATATCCCTGTATCCATGGTGTAGCTCAGCAACCGATCACAGGACTTCCGATTCCACAGACTTTGCGATCAGGTACATCGCATGTACTTGGTAGGTGTTAGTGGAGTCAAGGATCAAACCCAGATCAAAGATCCAACTCCAAAAAGTTCAAACCACTGGGCTACCACGACCCTTGTGGTACAAAATAACATTTATATAATTGAATGAATGTATACTAAAATTTAAACGCGCTACATTTCAATTGTCTTCAAAGCATAAAACACATTCAATTTTAAAATGACTCTGAGTTTTCATTTTTCTCTAAAAATAATAAACATAACATGTCTTAACATAAAATATAATTGAATATGTAACAAATGAGTAAAATTCGCATCTGGGAGCATAACAATGACAAATGAGAGAAGAAAGCAGATAAAAATAGATGGCTGAATCCATTACACCCAGCATCAAAACTATTATCGAAATCTTACTTATTATCGACAACAAGCACTTAAGCCTCGACTAGTCACGTCGCTTTTATTATTCATAACATGGGTCACGTAATCAAGTCTTCATCTTCCTAATGGATTAGAACCATGCACGTTCTATGCATTTTGCACAAACTGATAAGCCTCTTGGGCTTCGAGTAAACACTCCGTGTACGAAAAGTTAGCCTAATATATCTTTGAAAGCGTATGAATTATTCGATTACGAACTAAAGCAAGAATTCGTGATTAGTTTAAAGCTATCAAATTATAAGTAAGGTACATTATTACACGTAAAAATTTACTCACTTTTAAAAAAATAATAATAATAAATTGTTATTACGATATTTATGCACCAAGCCTTTTAAATCAAGTTAGTAGTTTTAGGGTTAATATCAAGCACCATATTATAGGAATTTTCGGAATAAGGATATTGTTTTCGTTAAAAACTAAGGGAATAAATGAAAATTTTTAATGAAGATTCTTCGTGATACAACCTGTGAACTGCAAATGTAAATTTTTCCAAAGCAATAGAAAATAAAATAGGTGCTGTATAGCAGTGGTGCGCAAACTAGGGGTCGCGACCCCTGTGGGGGTCACCAGAAGTTTTTTGGGGGTCGACAAATTTTTATGAAATGCATTATCCCTGCATGCTACATACTATACAGTGTACATATAAAGAGTGAAGCGCCGTCACTCACTGTCTAATTGCAATTTCATGCTGTCCACTCTTTCTTTGAGTATGTATTTTCGTAATGTATTCTCCATCTGGCTATCCGTGGAAAAACAATATCCCGTTTTATGCAAGAATGCCATCAGAGTGTTAATACAATTTGCATCAACGTATTTATGTGAAACTGGATTTAGCAAACTAGTTTCAATAAAAACTAAATACCTCTCGCGTTTAAACCCTGAAGATGATATGCGAATTGCAATTAGCAACATACATCCAAACATCGATGAGATAATTAGAAACTTGCAGCCACATACATCTCATTAAAGGGCAATTACTGATTTTTGTGTTATACAAAAAGTATTTTTCTTAACATTATAAATAAAATTAATATGAGTCAAATATGATGATGTTTTTATTCGATGAAACGAAAGAAATGCGCGAAATATACATCGTATTTGTGAACATTTATCTCTAGGGGTCGCCAAAAATTTTCTCTCTGCAAAAGGGGTCGCAGTCGAAAAAAGTTTGCGCACCACTGCTGTATAGCACTCTTTTTTTTTTGTCATGAATGTTTGTTTTTTTTTTCTTTTTGAAGGAGGCATTGGCCGCTTGCAATTTTTAAGTAAAGATGAAGAGGGCTAAGTTACAAATATATATATATGTATATATATATAACTATTTATGCATGCAAAAATGATAAAATAATGTGTTTTTTAAATCAAAAATTCCAAAAAAATATTATATAACAAAAAACAGTGCAAAAAAATAAATATTAATCATACGTACTTCAGTTAATATTTTCATTTGAAAGGCCCTGTTTAAATACGAATTCAATCGGTGAAAATTAAGTAAGGTAATTCAAGTTATGAGTCTAGCAGACTTGAAAAATATAGTTTGTAGAAAAACAGTTTTAAAAGTTGTCCTCGATTTAAGCGGGCTGTGCAAAATTCAAAATTCCAGTACTTAAATATTTTTCCTGCACATAAGCTTAAGGGTAGAACATTTTAAAATACTAAAGTAAGTACCTAACTTTCATTCAAAAAAGGAATAAAAAGTAAGAAAAGCATTTTTCCAAAATCCTAGATTGACCTAGAATTCCTAATAATCCTAGAGCTCCTTCCAATACTGCACCCTTTTTCAGAAAAGTTGTTCATTCAGTTTTTTTTCCCCCATTAAACATAATCAGCTGAAAAATGTTTTATATTTATAACATATACAAAAAAAAAATTTATTTCCTCCATATTAATTAAATCATTCATTATTTAATTGATTAATGATTTAATCAAATAATCATGATTTAATTCTTTTCAAAAATAGCATTGATGAAGGTTCCGTGGAAACTTTTGAAACATGCTAAAAGTGTAAGGAGAGTCGGATGATCTATTCCAATCTATGTTGAAATTGCCAATTTTTACCTCTTCCCAGAAATATTGAATTGATTTTGAAAAGCTCATTTTGCTTAGTGCTATTTGATATGATGCATATTTCAAATAAGGAGTTTTTTGAAGTATGCAAATTTTGGATTTTTCAAATTGAAATTTTAAATGTAGAATATTTTTGTTAAACAAATAATTTTAAAAATCAATAAAAATCTACTATTGAAAATTTTAAGTAGTTTCATTTAATTCAGGTAATTTATTGACTACATATAAAAATTGAGACAATTATTCTTAAAAAAATTTTTCCTTTTTTTTTTCAAATTTTATTTAATAAGAAAACGAATTGCTACACATTTCAAGCCCCAAACTGTACAGCAATAATAACTAACAGGGGTTAGTTATAAGGAACAACAGACCATAGCTGCAACTTGGGATCAGCACAAGAATATTTATGCCCAAAGAGGCATAAACTCCTAACAAGGCCGTCAGAAGTATAACTCCCCTCAAACCTCTTTAATTTTTATGTGTCGACGAGAAGATATTTTCTCACCTATGATTTGTGCGCCATCTGCTGATAACTGCAGAAAAAAATGTAGGGCTTTGTTTACATAAATGAGCACAGTAAAGGTTATCGAGGGATCAAGAAGAGAGGCCAACACTGGGAGCTATTTCACTCGTGCGTTATGCGTTCGTTAATTTGTTCATTTCACATCAAGTTAATTTGTAGTTATAAACATAGAACTTATTATTTCTTTTATTTTCAAGCAAATACGTTCAATTATAAGTCCAATTCTTTACAGTGGGTAAAATTTTGAAGAATTCCATCCACTTTTCTACCAAAAACAATGGTCTTAAAAAAAAGTAATTTTAGCTAATAAGCTGAATGATTTTTCTTTAATCTAAATCAATCACAAAATATTTTTTAACATAACACTAATATTAAAAAAATGGTTCTATAAAGAGCTAAACATCTAATCTTTCTGATAATTTTTTTTATTTTCATTTGTTTCCTGGTATTATAAAGAAATCTACAGCGTTCTTGACAATAAAAACTTTTGAGCTTAGAATTTAGAGTGCAAAACATACTCTAGAATCTCACTCATAATATCTAAAAATGATTTACAAAATTTCGATTAAGTTAAAGGCCTAACTAATTGTGTTCAATAGGGTTGATTAAATTTCTAAACGTTGAGTATTGTAAATGTGCTATTAAATTAAGTTTTGTAAATAACTCATTAAATTTTAATTGCTGAACGTTTTTAGTACATATAAAATTGAAATTTCATTCATTTGTGCTTAACTGAGAAATTCTCAGATGACCGAATTAAAATATACTTGGATCTTAAAATCATGTCATTACCTGCCATGGATCACCTGCCTTGGATCTTAAAATCATGTCATTAGCATGGATACCTGCAAGTGACGTCATCATAGGTAAATCGTTGCATTTGTCGATTCAGAAGCCAATCAGGATCGACACCCACGCGTTACGTTGCTTACAAGTATCCAATTGAAACTGGTTTAAATCACTTGGTCAGGTATAATCACTTCACTTCTTCTTGAGTTGCAAAATTGTTAAATGCAAATATACATAATTATTTGATTCATCAATTTAAGAGTTAAAATACTAAAAGTTTATTTTAATTTTCATAATAGATATATCCACATGCTGTGCAAGTGCCTCTGCAAAGAACGACTAGAGGATAGAGAACACAGAAGTGTGATGGAAGCGCGGAAGAGGAAAAATGCAATACTTCAAATGACTATAAAAGATGACAAACAGACAGCCACCCTCTGTCTTTTGCATAGTTTTTTAGAATCAGCTCCACAACTAATACTTCAGCTATATACGCTGGCCCAGAGAACAGATGAAGATAAGCAAGTCATAAGTAAGTTCTTTTTTTTACAATTATTTAATCTACAAGTCAAAATGTGTGAAATATGTTACATATTGTTTCAACTTTTCACACGCTGAGATGTTGAAAGAGCGAAGTCGATTGTTTAAAAAAATGGGTAGTTGTTTATCATAGCAAAACACAATGGCCCATTATAGTACAGTGCGCAGAAAAAAAAATAATAAACAATATGAATAACTTTTGATCTAGTGATCGGATTTTCACGTAGTATATAGTACTGATAAATCAAATTTTAAATATCTGACTTTTTTAGAATTCCTTTCTCAACTATTTCAAGCTATATATTCCTCTCAAACTTTTTATTCTGCCATAGAAAATTAAATTTATTAAAATGATGAATAGCTGTCAAAAATTATTTTTTGAGTGAATTATTTTTGGATAAACGAATTTTATAATTGCGTGCAAACATTCTTCAAATTGCTATAAAATGTTCTCGAGATATAGCAAAATATGTAACAAGTAAAATTAACTAATAGGGGATTAAATTTTGGACCGGCATCATGACTAAACTATTGGGGCCATGTTTCCGAGATTATGGCAACTCCCTATATTTTAGGTGCCAGAAATCATAACCCCTAAATAAAAAAAAGGTATATTTACTCAGAGAAAGAGCGTATTTATGTATATCGTCTGCACTAGCTTTATTAGCATGTTTGAGGTGACCTCGTCGAACCTTTGAGTCGTAGTATGTGAAACTCTGATAATTAGATCAAAAGTTATTCAGGTTATTTTGTTTATTTTTGCGCACTATACAGCACGCACGCCAAAAACAAAAGAAAGGGACTACAATGAATAACTTATGATCCAATGATCGAATTTTCACGTTCTAGGACTCAATCTTAATAGCTCGAGGGGGTGATCTCAAATACGCAGACGATATTTTAAGTTACGAAATAAGCCACAAAAACGTACTTTCTCTGAATAAACATACCTTTCTTTTCGACGCATTCGGATTTATGACTCCCAAAATATAGGAGGTTGTCACAATACGGGATTTATGGGCCCAATACTTTGGTCAGGAAAGCGCTCCAAAGTTAGGACTTCTTAATGTTAATTTCACTTTTTGCGTATTTCGTTACATCTCAATTACTTTTTAAGCGAATTGAAAAATTTTGGTGAACAATTATAAAATTCGTTTATCCAAAGATAATTCCCTGCAAAAAATAACTTTTAGCAAACATTTATTATTTTTTATTATTTTATTTAAAAATGGTCAAAAAATTTTGAATTGTGAAGTATACAATTTTCTACATCATTTTAAAGCATGTAATTTTGCATGGCAAAATACAAAGTTTGGACGAAATCAATCGAATAGTTCCTAAGAAACTGGAATTAATAATATACGACATTTATCCATTTTGACCATTTCTCAGGAAATATTCGACCGATTTCGCCCAAATTTAGTATTTTGCCATTTAAACTTACATACTTTAGTACATTAGTAAAAAATTGTATACCTTACAATTCAAAATTTTTTCGACTATTATTAAATAAAATAATAAATATTTACTAAAATTTATTTTTTTGCATGGAATCTTTGGATAAACAAATGTTATAATTGTGCGCAAAAATTTTTCAATTCACTTAAAAACTTCTCGAGATATGGCGAAATGCGTAAAGAGTAAAATTAACATTAAGGGGCGCAAACTTTGGATCTCACTCCTGGTCAAACTAATGTTAATAAACCACTAGACTAACTTCATAATTTCATAATAACTTTCATTACAATTTTTAGGCATTTACAATTTTTTCGCTTTTTTTTTCTTTGCACTTACTGAAAGTTTATATGTAGCAAAATAAAGTCTTTATATTTTTCAGAAATTCTAAATTTTAAAGTAGTTAATGAACCTTATAAAGTTGTGTAACATATAGCATATTTAAACTTCATATGAATTTCCCAAGAAATCATATTTTTAAACATCGTCTCATCAAACCTCAGAAACTACTCATTTAATTAGTTTTGCCTAAGATATTGTAGATAATCAAATTTTCTACAATAGGATTTTTCGTTTTTTTCTTTCTTTCCATGAGTTACAAAAATAAAAATTCAAAAAAAATAGTGTGCCAAGTACCAAAGAAGAGGATTATCGATTATCTCAGAAAAAAAAGGTAGATAAAAATAAGTAATGCTTAGGGTATTGGAGACGGAAAAATATGGTTTCCCGATAATCAAGATTGAAGTTGTTGATTTTGGGGGGAAAAAATAAACTGTCACCAATGTAGCCGTCCATCACTTATCTAGCTAATCGCTGTCATCTAATCTTATGGATTTAAAAACTTAATTTCTCTAAAGCTTGTATTTTTAACTGCATGTTATTTCTTTCCAGTTTTTATACAAGGTGCCTGTGCTGCTTCATCCCTTTTCCAACTAGCTTTGTCCATCACATCATACAACAGCACACTCCATCGCACCATGATGGGTAAGAAGAAGCCCAACAGCATCGGCAAGTTGCTTCAGTTCCTCTGGCATTTCTGCACTATAGGGTCTAGAGCTTGCACCCTCGCCCTCTTCACCAAGGAATACCACTTCTGGCTCTTTCCATTCTGCATTGGACACTGGGGCATCATGACCATCTGGGTGATGCACCAACAAACCCGTTTCTGCAGAAAAAACGGAGAGCTCCACCAGTGCAAGGAATACATGTGCAACATGGTCATTGGAGTTGCCTATGTGATATACTACTTAAATGTCAAAGCAGAGCCCACTCGTTATAAATACTCAGCGTATTATGCAATAGTTTTTGCTGAGAACTGTACCCTTATGACTCTATGGTTTCTAAGAAATGATCCTGGCGTTTGGTACCACATACCAGCCCTTGTAGCAGTATTTTCTAGTTTTGCAAGTGGAATTGTTTTTATGTTGTTTTATTATGGGTTCTGTCACCGAACGTTAAAACAGACAAATGAAAAACGGGCAGCCCATTGTTGTTGAAGTTTGCAGTATTGTTCTTCTTTTATACTCCGACAGCGTCGGGTTTAAAGATGACGCTCTGAAGTTGTAATCTGCTTAGTTTGTTAATAAATTTTCATAATTAGATGAGATTTAAACAGAACAGTTTGGGTTTTTTTTTCTGCAGTAATCTCTCATTTTAAACAATTTTAAATAGTTAGTATTCAATGTCCATCGGAGAAAGTTTAGAAACCAACTGATACATTTTAAATCGAAAAATGAAAATTTGATATAAAATAAAAACTAAAAAAGAGAATGGTAAATTGTCTCTGACAACAAAGATAACATAAACTGAATAGTCTATAATTTTTTTAAAAAATACTGTTGCACTGTAGATACACTTATAAAAATTCACATTGCATCCCTCTACCCCTCTACCAAGTGAACCAAAAAAAAGCAGTAGTCAAGTTACTTATTTTTCAGCTTTTTTATAAAAATTAGTACGAAGATTAAGTTATATAAGACAGGGCATGAAATTTTAGTCTCAAATTTTCGATCGCTACTACTTTCAGGAAAAATATAAACAATTTTTAAAATGTAAACACATGCAGTAAAAAAAAAAACTTTCTGATGACCAAAACTGTAAAAGAAGGTTTAAATTGTTTCAATATCATTCACAAAATAAGAAAACATCCAAAAATTAAAATATTAAAAATGTTTCCACATTTTTAAAACTTAATGTTTTTATACCGCTGAATTACAGCACTAAAATATTATCTGTTAATTACAGCCCTAGCATCTAACTCAGAAACTTTTAGACTCTGTTACACTGGAGTCAAACTTTCTTTTTGATAATTATTTCTTTTAATAATTTTTTTCTTTTAATTTTTCAATACTGAAATCTAAAATTTGACTATTCTAGAACTATTTATGGACACCATATTTTCATTTTATTTCTTTATATTTTTATTTTTTTCAATTTTGTAATCAAGTTATACATCCTATACAGAAAAAGCATCCAGAATAACCTTTGGCTAAGTACTAAGAGGCAGTCTTTATGGTATAAAGTGTTACTAAAAGCATGTTGATTAATTTACTCATTTACAAGTAGTTGCAAAGATGCATTTTCTCTGCAATGCCTTTTGTTTTCTCATTAACAAATTCAAAACATGAAAGATAATAGTAATTTGCCATATTTTAAAAACTAATTGTGATTAAAATTAAATAATATTTAGATGCCAAACATTCTAAACTTTTTTGGCTAAACTAGTAAAACCAAAATTTCAATATTATGATTATCCCCATATCTTAAATGCTAGGAATATGAATATCCTGAAATAAAGATACGCTTATTTAGTTAAAGTACGTCTTGTGTCGAGGTTTATAATTCAATTAAAAAATCCCAAAACAGCAAATTGTTGGCCATGGCCATTAAATTGTGGAGGTCAAGGCTCCACAATTTTATTATGTGCTTGATTGCAGCAATATGGTCGACACAAATAGCCTTTACTTTACAAACAATGTGGTACTCATCAAACTGAAACTGGTCGGTCTTCAAGTCACTACTGATGATCAAACCCCAGCTACCTCATTGACAGCTCACAGCCTTTAGCTGAGCCATCAAGACTCTACTTATTAATTAATTAAAATTAATTAATCAGCATACCCTAAGTAGACTTCTTGAAGCATTAAGATTCATCTCAGTATGTGAAAATCCAACCATAAAGTAAAATATATATAAAATATTTTGGTAGAACATATTGTTTGTACAAATATTCCATCTGTTTCAAGCAATATTTTTAAATAAATACATTTTATAAATAATTGAACTATCATGTAACTTTGTATGTTTTATAAAAAAACTCTTTTAAAACTAAATATAACCAGTAATATCTAAGGTTTATGATTTTTGTTTTATTTTTAATTCTCTACATATGTGGGAACTGCTAAGTTTTATAAAATTTTAATGTGATCTTGCAGTGTAAAAAATTATACCTCTATTTTAAAGACGTTAAAATCTACCTTGAAATTTATGAAACATTACCTGAATTACATAATTTTGTTAACATATTAACAGTGACTATCAAATAAGAAATACATAGGAATTATGTAGGTCAGATAATCAGTGAAAAAGACAATTAGCAATTATTTAAATCTAAGAACCAAAGTATTTTGCAATTAGAAACGAGCTACAATCTAAATTAAGCGTATTACATATCTTTTCTTTGATCTTCTCCTATGATTTATACATAACAACATAGACATAACCGATTTTAAAAATTGGAGTGAAATGTTTACACAGCTAATCTGCTAAAAAATTACTAACATATATGTAATGGAAACTGATTTTTTTTAATACATAAATAAGATATATTAAAAATTGGACTATGAAAAAATATGTTATCTAAGGAGAACTTAGTAAAATAAAAAAAAGATTAGAACTTTAATAGCAAAAATTTAACCAAACTGCTGCTAAAAGACAAAGCACCTCAAAGTGAAAACACCAGAATGAAAGGTACAGATTTATTTTAAGTCAAACTACAAATTTTTTTAAATAAGATTAAACATATCTAAAGAACTATCTAAAACAGAAAGCAATAATTAAAGGACAAAAAAAGTTAAAGCAATTTGACACTGGTAGTTAAAGTTCAGCATTTTAAAAATATCAAAGAGTTAAAACTTAATCTTGATATGTTTCAATAAATAGTGGAAGAAATTTATGTTTTCCAACAAATGGGTAATATTGCGATAACCATATTAAAAGTTATTTCTTGCTTTTGCTATTAATAATATTAAAGAGAAATCAGTATTAATTAATTTATGAATAAAATATTTTGATAGTCATATTAAAAAATAATTACTTGTTATTATTGATGTTGAATTAAAATCAGAAACCTGCATTAATTATTTTATTAAGCTTTTAATTATTTCCCTACCACTTTTAAAGTTTCGGAAAAACGTCCCAAGAAATAAAAACAGTTAGGCAACCATGCAAACATAAACTAAGAAAATGAAAAGAAAAAAATAGAATGAAAATATTATTATATTAATCTAATACTAGCAATAATGGAGGTATATAAATGTTTATTTTAACATTTTAAACAGTTATAAAGTTAGATTTCCGGAAATAAACCTTTTTTTTTAAATTGAAATGTACAAAAAACCACTTTTAATTTTATATAAGAAAATTTTACATTACATTTTGTAAAAATTTAAAAGTATTTGAAAATTTTTACATTTTAAGTTTCAATTCTAGCACACATCCTAACCCATTTATGATAAACTCTAACATAAGAAAAGCTATACCAATGCAACAAAAGCCAAAAAGTATTTCTACAGATAGATAAGGCTGATTACTACAAGTGAGTAAAAACATTAATAGTTTGATAAATAAAACCTTTTAATATTAGCATATATCCCAACCCATTTCTATATACCCATACCATATCTTGGACAAATGAAAAGTTATACAAAGGCAACAGAAGTCATAAATTAGTTTCTAAACATAGATAGGGCTGATTAATAAAAGCGAGTCAAAACTTAACTGGTTTAATAAAACCTATTAATATTAGCATATATTATTAGGTATATGCTACCCCCATTTATGATAATCATTGACATAAGAAAAGACAACAGACAGAAGAACAAAAGCTATAAATTAATGACAACAGAAGCCATAAATTGTTTCTAAACAGAGATAGTACTCATTAATGCAAGTAAGTCAAAACTCAATTAATTTAATAGATAAAACCTATTAAGATAGAACCCAAACCATTTATGATGATCTTTGACATTAAAAAGTTATATAAATGCAACAGAAACTATAAATTATTTCTTAACATAGATAGGACTGATTAGAGCAAAGGAGTCAAAACTTGATCAATTTGATAAATAAAGACTAGTGACATTAGCATATATCCCTCCACATTTATGATAATCTTTGATGTAAGAAAAGTGATAGAAATACAATAGAAGACATAAATTATTTCTAAGAGTAGATAGGGCTGATTATTAGTGAATTAAAACTTAATTTTGTTGATAGATAAAACTATTGATAAAAATTACACAAGTGCAACAAAAGTATAAATTATTTCTAAACATAGATAAGGCTGATTAATACAAGTTAGTCAAAACATAAGTTTGATAGAGAGGGAAAAACATATTTTAAAGTTGCCTTGATTTTACTATATTTTTAATGAACTTTCAGAAAAGCATTTAAGTAAAAGTTATGACACTAGCATAACATTGTTTCACAAAACACTGGAGAAAAAAAATTGAACTTGAAAGCTAACTGTGAACTAAAATCATGCATGAACAAAAAATATCTAAAAACTTAGCATAAAAATGTTAATAATTAGAGCAAATTCGCTTAAGAAGAAACACACAAAAGAGAACAAAATTTCAGAATCTCGTATATCTGGGCTAGAAAGTTACACAATGATATAGAAAAGAAGAAGAATGCAAAACAAACAATAAAAATGGAAAAATCACCAGGACACCACAGGATTGTGAAACATCTTTCTTTATTACGAAAATAAACTCCCTAAGTCAGGAGTTTGTCATAGGAAAAGGTTTAGAATTGCACTAGCTTTTGTAGCTATATCTTTATAAAATAGTTTATATAATAGAATCTTCTAATAAATAACTAATTTGTTTATTTAAAATAATTCATAAATTAAAGAAACTTTATAGTTTACTTAGGTGATTAGAATTAGGTGATATCATTTTTAATCTAAATTTTTAATGAACTAATATCAGAATGAAAATCTATTTCTACAATTTCCAAGGACTTTTAAAGGGCTTGTTTCTTATATTTACATAAAATCACTTTTAAACTCAGTGTACTTTTCAGTGTCCTTCTGCACATTTCATAACAGTTGTAAACAGCTTTGTAATAAAGTTTTATAAGGCAAATTTTTTTATAACAATCTACAACAAAAAATCTAGACTGGGCAATTTTCAAGAGAAAAAGAGGGATGACATATTTTCAAAAATAAAAACTCATCTACGATGCATTTAGATGCAAATCAGTATGAATTAGTAATGAAAAAAAAATATTATAACAATAAATTTATATTAAAATTGCTTCATGTATTAAAAGTTATGAAAATATTAAATGCACAAAATTAATCAGTTTATTAATTGAATGCAATGCAAGTCATTTTTTTTAAAAAAACTAAATATTTATTTCATAAAATGAAATAAAAATATTTTGAATGTAATGAAACAAATTAGTATTTTTAAAAATAAATGTAACCTTAAATACATACCCAGAATTGTTGGGATCTATGCAGGAGAATATACCAGAGATATTAGTATTAGTAATTTGATGGTCATCTCGTGATCCATCATTGTAGAGTGATTTCGAAGATTCAATTTTTCTGATGGGAGAATCGCAACTCTGCGGGTCACCATGTTGAAAAAGTCCCTGCAAAAACTCATCAAAGCTTATCTGTCCATCTTGATCACAATCAAGTTTCTCAAACAGTTGAGCCACGACCTGAAAAATGTAAAACATTTCACTTTGGTAAAAATGTAGAGTTTAATGGTACAAGAGTCAGAATCAAATGCAAATTGTATGTCATTCAGAAGAGGACAATCGGACACCTCTGGGTTATTGGAACTATTTGTACCTTAAAAATTTATTTCCTAAGAGGAGATAATATTTAAGAAATGGTTATAATAGTAAAAACAAGTAAATAAAGTACAAGTGAAAAATCAGAAATTAACATATTGTAGTTTTGGTTCAAACAAGAACCTCCCTCAATCACGAAATGGTGTTTAGACATAGTTGGCTATATAAACTGAGGAAAGCTCTTGTTTATAGAACCGAAACTATAGTATGTCCATTTCTGTACTTTCATTTGTATTTTATTTGCATTTCTTTTTGCTTTAATCTACATAGCACAAAGTATATCATATACTTCTTAGAAAGTGTTATTAATAATAAATATTACAAATTGTGACAAGAAATAACTTGAACAGAGTTGAATACCAAATATTTAAATCCAAACACACTGCAAATTCATCTTGGAGGATTCTATGCTTCCTTGGTCAAAAAGTTCTCTAGAAAGCAGAAATGGACTTTTACAGTATTTCTGACTTTTTTACAGTACACCACCGAACTTGAACTAGCCTTTGTGAAAGACTTTTCCAAGGAATAAACCTATATGGGTCTTACATGGAGAGAATAACCATGGAAAACTTTCCGTGGTTAGCCTGATAGCAAGAGGATTCTAATCCATGATCTGTCTACCAGCGAGAACATTTTATTTCAACACTGTGGTCGGTATGAGTCAATAGCAGAATTCGTTTTAACCAACCACCACTGGGATTTGAGCCTAAGTGACAACATTGAGACCTGAAGGCTCTATCCCCTGAGCTGCCGCAGCTCCTGGTAAAATTTTAGTTTTTATTCACAACTCAATAAAACTCCGCTAAAACTACATAAATATAACATAATATAACTCCATTTAAGGTTACATGCGTAAAACACTTGTAGATAAATTAATAAGTTGGATTCCGAGAAAAATGAGGGTATTTGTTGAATCCATGAACAACTAAAGAAGCTGTTTTTAGTTTCCCATCAAATTCCACACTATTCAAAGATAAAATAAATAAAATTTCCAATAAAAGTTGTAAACAAATAAAAAAAAATACATTTAAAGCAAATAAAATACATAGATTAAAGAAAGCTATCAAATTGTGATTTGGAAAAATTGTAATTTCTCTTTTTTAAGAAAAATATAAAATCTGTTCAAATTGATGATCATATTTTTAAGTTATATCATTTTAACTTTGCAAAAAAACTAAAAATTATTATAATCTTAAATTTACTTTACAAAAAAAAAACCTTTTTGTTAAATAAAAGGTAAAAGTAATTGGTCTGCAATTAATTTCAAATTAAACAGAAAATAACTTAATCTGAAATAAATATTTGTATTCATTAAATTAAATTTTAAATAAATTTATAATGTTTAGAACAATTAACCCATCAGAACTACAGCAGTGACATGAAGACGCGTGTATGCCTGAAGGGAGCTCGTCAACTAGAAAAATGTAATAAAAAAATAAAAATTGCCCTGATAAAAAATTAAACACGGTTTAAAAAAAAAACAATGTAATAAAAATAATGACATTGAAATAATATATATTTATAAAATGTGGCCAAAAATAATTCTAAGGTAAAAAGAACTTTTAATTTTTCATAAATTTAAAAATATATTTAAATTTTAACCATCTAAAACTTTTAAATTTGGTTGAAAATCATTCTTTATGCTTCATTGAATACTTTCTTAATTGAATAATTATAATTTCTCTTAATTAAAGAAGAGAAATTATACCCAATAACATATATGTATCCCTTAGTATGTGGTTTTTACAAAGATTTTTGTAAAACTTTTTATGAAATTATAACACAATCATTGAGCAAATTAACTTACAATAGAATTCAACATGAAAATTGAAGTAAGTACAATGATAATAACATGAATAATAAGAAATTAATTCTTGAACCCAGACAATAAAAAACACATCCTTGATTGTCTGGAATTTTCCTTGGATCACATTCTCCTCCGTTTTAGTGTGTGACTTTGCCAGAGCGTTTGGCCTCATGGATTTGATATAGCCGAGGCTATATTGTGAAGGATTCGAAACAACAACACAATAAATTAATAATAAAAACAATAATTATCAATATTACATAATAAAATAAAAACATATAACATGATTGAATATTTAACTTTCTAGAAAATAAACATATGTATGCAAATATTTCAATATTCCTCTGAAATTAAATTTTCGTTTGAACCTGTAACACATACACTGCATTGAAAGCATTTTTAATACTAATAATAAATAGTAAACACAAAAAAATGCAAAATGAGAAAAAACTAACTTCTTCAGTCATATCCATCCCAATATGTTCACAAACAAGCGCCAACTCTTCAACATTCAAATAACCACTCTGACCTATATTAAGTTTTTTCCATGTATCTTGAAGATACTGAACAGGATTACTTTCAAATGACAATGTCATATCTGTGTCAGAATCTGATGTTTGTTGAAGTGAACTACAAGCTTCTTGTGATGTACTTTGCTTGTCATCGGACATTCGCCCAGATTTAACAGGTGGCTGTTGTGTAGTAACTGGACTCAAACGACGCTTTCCTTGTAAGCTTTCAGGCTGCAATAGGTAAAAAATAATTCCTTATAAACATAGTATAAAATTAATAGACTTCAACAGCCAGAATGACAAAAAATTAGAAAAAAAAGCAAGAAAACAGCTAAACATAATATGTAATCTTTCATAGACAGTTAATAATACTCACCATTGGCCCTCTACCATCTTGGTCACATGATGATGATTGATCAACTGATGTTTGTGGACTGAGAACTGGGGATGTGGCCGAACTGTCATCATCTACAATAGAAGCCGGCCTTGAACGGCGACCATATTTTTTTCGTCCTAATGTGAATTTAGGTGATACTTCTCTATCTATAAACAAAGAAAAAATGAGAAATGTAATTTTTATGACCAATAAAGAGTAAACAATTCAAATTTTCATGAAGCAAAATGAATTCAAAACTATTAAAAAATACAAATAGCTCAAACACTAAAAATTCAAGCGGAAAAAAAAGTTTAACAAAACAAAAATAGGTATAAGAATTAGAAAAACAACATTTTTCAATAGAATAAAAAGTAGAAAATAATTTTAATTTTATGAGGTCTAAAAACAAAAACATAGGGTACATGACTGTAAAAAAACTGCAGGGCAAGTTCTAGAGAGGGATAGAAGTTTATTGTGATGCGCCTCTTAATTTTTGTTTAAAATGCAACAAAAATTAAATTATTTTATTCAGTTCCATCGACTTGAAAAGCATTGTACAGTAGGGAACCGATTATCCGGAACGATCGGGACCATCGCTATTCCGGATAACTGATTTTTCAGGTTTTCTGAATCGCTACTAAAAGCCGTTTTTTTTTATTGTTAAACCCAACTAAAAAAAATAAATTTTTTTGGAAATAATCTTAAAAAGAAGAAAATACTATGAAGTAATACACTAATGATTATTTCCAAAATGATGGTAAGGTAAACATCTTTTAAAAAAGAAAGAAAAATCCTAAAATCTTATGAGTAAAAAAAATTTTTTTTTTAAAAAATGGCGGGAAAATTCATCAAAATTTTTTTCCGGTTTTTTGATTTCCGGATAACGGGTTCTGTACTGTACTAAAAATTTTGATATTTTAAAATGTTTTTTTTTTTCAATTTTGTTAATAATTTTAGCAAGTCAGAAAGCAACACAAATTTTAATAGTTGATAATATTTTGGCAAATGTATGGAGAAAAAAAAATGCTGACTATATCAGTTAGGAGACAATTAAAACTTGTATTGTAATCCATTTGAAAATTTCCTTCTCTATTTTGTTAGAAAGAGGACCAAATTTATACTTATGATAAGCTCTATTTGTTAATAAAATTTTGATTAATTCTGCTAATAGGAAACAATTAAAAACAGTATTTTCATCAGGCACAGTGATCCAGTTGAGATTTGAGTGCTCTAGCTAGTTGGAAATTATATTCTTTCAAAATCTAATTGGATAGGGAACTCTTAACTGAAACACCAATTCAGTAGAGAATGTCTGAATTTGTTAAAAATATATCAATGCAAACTTCTTTTTGATGTTAAAAAAATATTCAAAATATTTTAGAAAAATATCCAAAATGTGAACTATCCAAAAAGACTACAAAGGTTTCGATATTTCTTTCAATTATAAGTAAATAATTTTTAAAATTTCCAAAGTAATTTCTTTTTTTTAAAGTAGCAACTTATAAACAACTTAACATTAGATAAAAAATAAAAACTATTTTTAGATATAAATTAAAATGCATATTGCAATCAGGGTTGGCTTTTTGCCGGCAGAAACTGGTTCTTGCCATGCCAGTGGCAGAAACTGGTTTTAACCGGTAAAAACTGGCAGAAACGAAAAAAAACTTTTATATTAGTTCTAGTAATTGCTTAATGACATTTCGTTTAAGTAAACTGAAAAATTTAACTCTATGTAACTGTAACAAACTTTTTAATTCATTGTTTGTAAATATATATTATTTTGTTTATATTAAATATAAAGAGTGCAGTATATCAAATATTTATATAAAATAAAGAAGAAAGTAATGTAATAATAAATATAAATACTAGATTTTAGTTTATTATATTAAATTCTGAAATTCAGTAATTATTATCATTTAACTCTTAACGTAACTGAATAGAGCTATTTTCAAATAGTTTTTTTTCTTTTCAAGACATAATTTGCATGGCAACAATCCAATTATTATAACAGTAACAGTTTTAATCTTTTGTGGATGGCAATGTCTGCGAGTTTTGTTAGACTTGAGAGAATCTTCAAAATTCTCGCTCGTGCATAGCAAATTGAGAAATTCTTTAGATTTAGAAACTGCATCAAAACTTATCTTTTGTTATATATTACTGCAGAGTGCAAACAATGTAATATTTGATCTTGAATGGTGATAATTTTGTAAATAAATCGTACTTTGTTTAACATTTAATTGTATTTCTATTAATTATCCATTATATGTCAATCTCAGTTCTTACTTTTATGTCATTTTCTGAATTTCTGCCAGTTTCTGCCACAAATGTGGCAAAAAAGGGTTTTTGCCATGCCGGTTTTAATGGGTTTCTACCAGTGGTTTTAACCACCTCGGCAGAAACTTGCCAACCTTGATTGCTATGCACATTCACAGTAAGAATTGTATAGGAGAAATATAAAGCCATTTTTATAGACACTAAAAACTATTTATTGCATAATTTATAAAAAAATAAATAAATAAATAAATAAAAATGCAATATTTAATTTAAGCAAATTTTCTTTCCAGAAGAATGAGGTTCAAATGTATATGAGTTATCAATTCCATGCATTTTTAATAAATTAGCAGCTAGCACTCCACTTTATAGATGACTAATTTCACTCAAGATCAATCTAGCATAACATTTCCAAAAAAAAAAAAAATCTTTAAATTGAAACCTTATTATTTTTAAAAACTGCGTGGACATTTTGCTAAACAGCTTTGGGGTTCTGTTTAGCATCAGGAGAGCATTACTTATTAAAGCTTTTCATGCAATAAATCATCTCTTACTAAATTGATACTAAGCTAAGATAAACTTTTTTTTATTTATTGAAAAAGAAAAATACAAGTACCAGTCATATCTTCATCTTTACTTTCTTCAGGAATGTCTTCATTTGGTATTGTTTGCATTAAGACAGCAACAAAACATTCTTTAAAATCTTCAAAGCTCACCTGCAATGAATATGAATATTAACTAACTGAAATTTATAGTTAAATCATCAACTCGTAAGTACTGCTACAAAAAAAAAATTTAAATTTACAAAAAATTTTTATTTATCATAAATGACTATCTAGTTTTATGAGCAGATATATTCCCACTCATGTTTTAGGATTATTTAATTAAATGATGTAGAAATTTCATGTCATTAAAAATAACTAAAATTAAATCAGAAATCAGAAGGAAAAAAAACATTAGAGTGCAAAATTAATGGTCACACCAGCCACAGGGCAACTAAGTAAATCAAATGGCAGTTAAAAAAAATTTGCCAAATGATTGTTAGTTTTAGCTGAAAATGAACCCCATGTGCATTTCATTATTATTTTTTTCCTAATAAATATGCGTTTATTATAAATATTTCAAAATATTCTAAAAATTAATTTTATACACATTTTTCTGAAGATATTTCTTCATTTTAGAAATGAACCTGTTGAAGATTTTCCATATTTTAACAAACACCTTACATTAAAAAAATCAAGTTTTTTTTTTTAATTAAACATTTAAAAATTCCAATTTTTGAAAAAGAGAGTAATGCTAAAAAAGACACAACTGACCAAAAGTTAGTAGCAACCATTCCGAATTTTGCCCTAAACAAACCATTGTTTTTAGATTTTCAGTAAATAATGCAGCTAGATGGTTTAAATTCCTGTACTAAAGTATGTTCTTATAAACTTATACATTTTAGGAGCATATTTATTAGTAATATTTTTTAATAAGCAGTTTTTAACTTAAGACTAAAAATAAAATGTTCATAAAACATGCAGCCAACGAGCTAGTCCTATCATATTGACACTCAAATAAGTCTTAAAAAAACTTAAAAGCTTTTTAGCTCATGTTGTGTAATAGTCACTAGTACTTACCATTAGTTAGAATAAATTTAAGTTAATTTTGCCAATATTTATTAAGAAAACACTGACATGAAATTCATATAACTGTTTTAACAGTGACATGAATTTCGTTTAGACAATAATTTTTCATCATTACCTAATTGAATAATAATAAAAAAATTTTGGATTGTAACATATAAAAAATATTATGTCTTTTTAATGATAAAACCAAAAATTTCATACACGTTTATATAGCATCTAAAGGATATTAATTTAAAAAAGATTAATATTTTTGTTTCTGAAACTACTCTTATTTAATCTATTATTTCAAAGTTTGGATTCCAAAACTATGGTGAAATAGACAAAAAAATTCAAATATCGTAAGAGGCCAAAACATTCCACTGCACTATTGAGGCTATATCTTACAAATTGCAGTTATTTAAAATAATATTCAGAGTAATTCTGTTTTGTTTTTTTGTTTTTTTTTTAAATACAGATCATTCAGAAAAAAACAGATCCTAAGCCTGAATGTGCAACTTAAAATTAGCATAATTCACACATTTTAGATAGGTTTTTACAAAAATGAAGATGCTATCTTAGTATATAAAAATCTTGTCGCATTAAATCATAATAAATTTTTGAAAAGTTATTAAAGGTAAAAAGCTTTTTATTTTTAACACGATACAAATAAAAATTAACAGAAGTAATTTATGTTAATGTAAAAAAGTAAAAATATGTCTATTCCCAGAACATTAAAATTTTTACGCTTTTCAAAAGAAAGAAAATTATTACCTCGGACTGATTTCCAAGAAGATGATCTTCTAGAGTTTCTGCATGCTCAAGCAAATGAAGTTTTTCGCATAACACTTGTAATTCAACCTTATCTAGACAACCACTTCCTGTTGTATCACAGCTATCAAACACGTCTTTCAGTTGGGAAACATATGTATCCTTCTCTTCACAACCTTCCATAGCTGAAAATATTATAGAAAAAAATGTTTTATTCTTATAATTATATATATTTCACTAAATACACAAATTTAAGAAAAATAGATTTTAGAGTCACTCTCTTTCTAAATGGAAATATTTTATTTAGCGTAGCTTCCAACTGGGCTGATTACTCTGCTAAACACAAAATATTGAAATGAAACTTCTTAGTTTTTATATTTATCTTATAAAAAACATATGGAATGAATTTGAGACTTTCATCATGATAAAAATGGGTTATTTATGATCACTGTCAATTAGGCTAATAATCCTGATAATTACAAAATATCGAAATAAAACTGTTTTAATTTTTTTATTTATCTCACAAAGAGCATATGGTCCAAATTTTAGGTTTCTAACTTCATGAGAAGTAGGAGAATCAATGATGAGTGAGTTCTTTTATTTCTAGCTGTTAAAAAATGCTAAATTAATGCATAATAAATCAAGAAGCATTAAAAGTTTTCCTTTCCACTAGAGATTTAAAATTTTAAAAAAGCAAAATTGAAATGGGGAGATTTCCGTAACGTGATCTGTGGCAGAATAATTACCTAGTCTTGGCAACTTCCGTGCAGCGGCCAGCGAGAAATTTAAAAAAAAACATCACAAAACGGGACCAACTCGAAATGTATAACTCGTACCCACCCCCGGGCAAACATCTATACGTTTTTTTCTTCAAAATTTGCGAGTTTAAAATCTATTTGGCACCTTGGCGATTGTAGTTGGCGCGACAGATCATGATATGGAAATATCCCCATTGAAATAAGCAAAGCAAAATTGAACTATAACTTTTCCTCTCTTTAGCTCCTCTATTGAAGTACCTGCACATAGCAAGATGCAAAAAATAAATAATAACAAATCCAGATAAATAAATTTTTAAAATATTCATATTATACCCCTTTTCAATGTCTTGAATATCTGTTTTCTACATTCTATAAACTTAAGAATTTTTAAAGCAAGCTCCAATATAATCCATAGTTACCCCACAAAAACAATCGATAAAGTCAAAAGAAAAGTGGAGTGAATCCATACTTTTCTTTTTGATATACTAAACATATAATTTTGTGTTGGATCAAAATGTTTTGAAAACAATTTTATTTAACAATTCAACCTTAATATAAAATATTTCTTAATGCTGCACCTACTATATTTATTATTGCAACTTTTACATCAAAATGAAAACTCATACAATATAACATTTGCAAATTGAAAATCTGATTGGTGCATTTTACAGTTCAGTTCAACCAAACTCAGTATGAATATACCCTAAGTTTTTGAAAATTGTGAATTTAATTTTACGATTTAAGATTTTAACGCCTTTGGTTATTGTTTTCTTTTCTGACAAAATCATTTAAAATATTGATAAACAATTATTACTAAAAAAAAAAGAATTATGACATCACATGAAAATTATGAAGTAGATTGCTTGCAAAGTTAGCAGTCAAAGAGTTGCTCAGATTGAATAATTTAAAGAAATTTGGAACACACTTTTAAAACCCTATTTCTCAAAACTCCTTCATTTTCGACAGCATTTCCAATCTCTGTATACTGCATGATGCCAGATTTGCTGGTCCAAGTTAAAAATAAAAATATTTAGCAAATACTAGAATTGCAATTACAAGTGATCCCAATTAGCACAATCAGGATCTTATAAGAGAATATCACCTGTTTAACATTTATGATGTGAAACAAAACAAACAATGAAATATATCTCTCACTTATACGTTGATGGTAGTTTTATAAGCAGCCATTTGAATTCCTTACTTGGATAGTTTACATTAAAATTCTATATTAATATAAAATATCCATCATGCATAGTAGTTGTTTTAATCAAATGGTAAGAATAAATGTGTACACTCTCCCAATAGGTTTAACTTCAACCTTTATATGAGCCATAATTTAACACAGCAAATTCTTTGAAATTAGATGACAGTATAAAGCATCTTTACAACAGCTCGCATAAGTGACAAATCAATAAAAAAAATTTGAAAAATGTAAGAGAATGAGCATTGTTTTCAACAATCTTGCCAGCAGTTTTATCTATCAAAAAATAATGTATATACAAACATCAAAATAGTACTTAGTACCTAAAACACTGTCTAGGAGTCTAAGCAACAATGCAATTTACAGACATTTACGATATTATTAGGAAGAAATATTAAGATATTATTAAGAAGCCGAGTGTATCAAAATTTGATTATCTTTAAAAATTAATTTTGATGAACTTCTATGCTATGCACGATATGACCTATTTAGAAAAAAAAATACTAAAAGATAATTCTAAATTTAAACTGCTAACGCCACATTTTTTTGAAATAGTAGAATTTTTCAAAATGTGCAAAATTTACCCATTTCATGTGGAGAAGAGTTCATTACCCCACAGTTACTATTTCAAAACATAAGCACATGTAAGTGCCCCAGCTAATTTATACAAATAATTTAACACAAGACATAGCTTTTAAGCTGTATAGATGTATATCATGACACTTTTCAAAACAAAAATGCCACTGTTAGTGTTTTAAAGTTAATTAACATTAGGATCTTCCAAACAGCAATCACATATAAATAGATTTGTGTTTGTTGTCAAATTATATAAACATGTAGTGCATGTAGTTGTTGTCAAATATCGTATCCTTTAATCGTATCGTAATATCAAACAATTGATCGATAATTGTAATATTTTTTTCTAATAACATTATAGCCTAATGATGCAGTATATTATTTAGTTTCTAAAAAATGCTTTCAAAATTTATAAAAAAGTACATTTTAAATTTTATTGACTTAAAAATTTACTTATGCAAAATTTAACTCAACTATACTCAACTCAACTTTACTTCTCATTCAGAAATCGACCAATGACAAAGCTGCTCATAATATTTTGAAACTGGCTGTATCAGAAATTGCCATGAAATTGTTTATCTTGCTGCTAGAACCCTCGTGCTTTTGTCATTTCTTAAATTAAAGCAAAAAAAGAAATGTTCCTTTGATAAATAATTGATTGTTTTATTATTATTACTCAAAATGGCATCATTAAGTTACAGAACAGTTCAGAGACAGATTTTTGAAATTACATGTGAAGTTTTACAAATGTTGAGATGTTATTGTTTACTCGTTTTGTGGCGTCTGTACCGCAATTTTAAGACATGTTATATCATTGAAATTCTCCAATTCTTGTACTATAGCCTTTTTTGCAACGATCGTAAAATGGAATGGAAAACGCATTGGCAAAGTCCAGTATGTAGGCATATTTTGAAGCGCAAAAGTTTGATAAGTCAGTCCAAATCATCCTTAACATGGGCAGCTTGCTCATTTCTTCTAACATTCATTATATATCTTGATTTAAAAAGTGCTCTTTTTGCCAGCTTCTTTGGTTACTACTCATCTGTTGTATGGACTGTAGAGACAGTTATTTGTGCATTGTTTGTTGTTAATGGATTTGCAGCCGTTTTTTTTTACATAAGGTCAGTAGTTACTAAGCCACTAGCATTATCCCCAATGCAACAAAAACTTTTTCGTGTTACTCTGGATGAACCTGGTTTTGAGATGAAACAACCAGAATTAAATGTTACAGATTCTAAACCTGAATCTATCAGATTCTCCTCTTTCCGTGATTCATTTGACTACTCGCCATCTTTGTTATCAGCAACTCCTACTAATTACTCCATGAATAGCTGGTATAGTTCATCACCTAGTTACACCGGCCTTGACACCACTAGTTCTTCTTGGAGTTTTCGTCGCATGTCATCACCATTGAGTTATTCTACACCAAAGTCTCCAGACAGAGTTTCTTTAAGAAGATTAGATAAGACAGCAGATCTTGAATCAAGTTATGACCACCCTATAAAGAATCTAAAACAGTTGGGTGAGTTTTTAAAAGTCCAAGAGGAAGAAAGACAAAAATCGATGTCACATGAAGATTCTAAGCATTTTTATTCTGGAGTGACCTCGGTTGAGAACAGCCCAATGTCTGTCTTGGGTAAATGTTTGTACCAAAGAGCATACCGGTTACCCAATGCTGAATCCACAGAAGACAGCTCTTCAGAAGTTCACTGCGGCGATAACGTGTTGAATAAGTTGAAAATATCGGATCGGGTGTTAACGGTTTGGTGTGAACGTATCCGGAAATGGATTTGCCAAACCATACTTGTGAAAATCGTGCAAGAAATTGATGAGATCAACAACACCTTAACTGAAATCAGTTTGCCGGAGCTTCAAATTGGAAATGTGAGTTTACTCACTTTAAATCAACTTGCTATGTCAAAATCTCAGAACTTACCTACTCTTTCTGCTCTTCTCCCTTATCTTGACATACACTTGAATCAAGAATACTTGGTTAAACGGTTAAAAACCCTGGCACGGGGGGGTTGCATGGGTCATTTTAAATGGAATTCTGGCGGTTCTTTTAATGATAAGTCGTGGTGTGAAGATATGCCGACTGATTCTGCATTGATAATGCACGTTTTATGCTGTTACTTAGATGCACAGTTGCCGCTACAGCCGCATTTTCCTGAGGGAAAACCATTTTCGTCCAAGTATTTTAGGAAAACGCCTGAAAAGCCGATTCTTTCCAAAGACTCTTATTACATCTATCAATCTTGTGTAAATCCTCCTCATTTCAAAGTTGCATTATATGAAGACATTTATTCACTTCCTAAAGGCCGCAATAATTTATTTTGTACCATTGCTGTTTTATTACATCACATCAAGACTAAAGAATGTGGAATGCTTGGACGTGTTAATCTCGGAAGATCTGGTTTAAATTTATTATGGGTAGTTGATTGAGCTGGTGTGTTAAACCAGTATGTTTTATTTTTTCTTATAAGAGTCTGAGCAACTTCATCTGCGTACATCATTTGATTCATATGTATTTTTTTGTAAATAGGTTGTATCATGTATGACAGATAGTATTTTTTAACACATCTTTTGTGATTTCCATCATTATTCTATGTCTCATTATTCACGCCATTGACAATTGCTAACATCTTGATATTGTATAATTTGCCAGTAGGTCTTCTGATTGCTGTGGAATTAAAACTCATATTACTGGCCTTTGATTTGTTACAAAATTTTAACTATGCAATTGAATATACTCTTGATTGTTATCTTTAGAGACTTGTGCGCAAATTAACTTGTCTGAGTTCAAAATGTACTGTGTAAACTAAATTTTAGTTAAGAAATGAATATTAAATTTGATATTATTGAAATATGTGTCACTTTATTTAGGCAATCAAATTTTGGTTCTGAAATAATTTAATGCTTTATGGCGAGTTATTTTAATAGATTGATTTTGTTTGAATTCAATATCAGAAAGTTAAGAAATGTGTTGCTAAACGTTAAAACCTTTAGCATTTATCAATAATTAAAATTTATTTTGGTATTAAGCCACAATTATACCTGAAATGTCTATTTTTTGCCATAATTTTAACTAAATTAATCTTAATTTAAATATTAGCTGTGACCATTTTTTCTTTTTTTTTACTAAATATTTCCAAATATGACCAAATTTTTCACTTTTGTTTAAATATCTCGATATTTTTATTTCTAAAAATTTTATTTGCAATTCTATTATTCAATGAGAAATATTATTTTGATTTACTTATAAATCAACTTCTATTAACTTATGGCTTCCAAGGGTCAAGAAAACACTGGAATTGTCAGCGAATTTTATTTTGACTCTAATACGCAGGGAAAGTTGCCCTTTTGTACAACTGCCGAGCCTGGAAAATAACCAATCTTAGAATTGTTAGTAACAGAAATCAATTATTGAGATTTGAGTTAGTAACTTCTATTGCAATAATTTGTTGTAAAAATTCCATGCTTTCATTTATGTTTGTTATCCATTCATGTTATTTTTTTGTCTGAAATTCTAGTATTTGACATGACAAAGTGATAGTTTTTCGAAGAATAATTATATGGTATAGATATAACATAGTTTGAATTTCCTAGAAAAGTCAGGGTATTCTTTTTTTTTTAATTAATTGGGAACCCTGTTATTACTGATACAGTTGGTGTCCAAAATAGCCTGATTAGTTTTTTAAAAAAAACTGCATCCAAAAGGTGTTATAAGTATTTTAACTAAAGCTACCTTAAATGAATTTTTTTCAAATATATAACCACTGAAAATTGTTTTTAGTACTTAAGCTTCTAATAGCCATGTTTTTCTGAATGATACCTTTTTACTATGATTTGTTATAGAACTTGGATTTTCTTGGTAAAAGACCCTTACAAAGCTTGATGAAAATCTAGCAGCTTTACTTACGACGAGCACGGAAAAGATTGATTTGAGTTTATCGAAAAAATAGAAGCCTTGAAAGCTATAAATATTAAAAAAATTCCCAAACTGAAATAACTAATCAAGTTTCGAGGATAAAATAAAAAAGGTCTAAAAGCATTCAAAAGGAATATGCTAGTCTTAATAGAGAGAAAATCAAATTTTGATTAACTGACAAATTAAATGGGTATCAAAATTGTCTTAGGAAGAAATAAGAAAGAAATAAAAGGAAACTATACTTTTGGAAGAAATAAAATATTATAGTACTAGCTATATTATACTTTTCGTTAGTATAAATTTATTTTTATAGAACTTTAAGCGACATATATATTTTATGACACTAACACTGACAGCTTTAATTATAATCATCCTATTATTGATCAAAACATTATACTATACATTAGATACCATTAAAAAGTGTAATTTTGAAAAAAAATAATTTATCATTTAAAATTGAATAAATTCACTCCCCTTTTAATTGAATAACCCACTTACAATTACCTTTTACATCATCTGATAATATGTATTAATAATACTTAATATTATTTTAATCCTCCATTAGTGCAACACTACGATTGCTATATAAAGTCTCCATTACTGTTCCATAGATTCAATGTTATTTAGAACAGATGTAAGACATTTTAATACTTTTAAAACTAACATTTTTCCACTGACAACAAATCAATTAATTACAAAAGTTCCAATAAAACTAAACAAACCACTATTTCTTTTGAAGTTACTGCTCAAAAACATGTAACATCTTAAGTTCTCTATAAATTAAGAATGGGTGATTATTCCATTTATTCTTAACCTAAGAGATCTATATATGGAGATGTGATATATGGGTTACTTACCATTATTGAGAATTTGAAGAGTATATTGCATCTTCATTTAGAAATTGTAGTTTCCTGTATAATCATAAATAGAGCCCAGATTTTGATGACCTAAAAATCCCAATTAATGCCCTTAAAAATGCGAATATTGCGCTAAAAATGACTTATGACATGACTTAAATAAAGTAAAAATATTGAACTAAAACAATGTTTTCCTCTTTAAAATTATTATGAGTCATTTCAAAAAATATAAAGCAATGCAATACTTGTTCTACATTCATTAAAGTTTGAAAAATATGGTTTATATCCTAAAATAACAAAAAAAAGGAAAATATATTGACTTCAAAACATTTTCATTTTGTATAGAAACTTTAATCCATCTTCCATCTCATAATATTACTAAATATCAGAATTGCATTGGATTATTAAATTTTTTTTGATATTTTGAAATGTAACCGAGTGTCTCTTATCTGAAAGTAAATTTTTATACCTGGAGAAGCTTCTACTGGTGTTATTGGTGCGTACTTGAAAAAGGCGGTCTCACTTACTGACAATTCTTCAATTTGAAAAGATGTTGCTTCATCTGTTAATATCCTAGAGATTATCCACGTGTTATTTAGCAAAAATGGCTGCTCATAATCAGTGTAACGCGATAAGTTTAGAGTGGAAATTAAAAATTTTAAAGGTATTAATCGTAATGTAATTTTAAAGCTAGAAGAACAAAAGTGTGCTAATTTCATGACATCGCTGAAGTTAAAGCCCAATATTATAAAAACTTTATGTATTTTTAACCTTTAATTGACCATATTGAATAATATTTGTACTTTAATAACAAAAAAAATTGGGTATAAGTCAGTTTCATATTTCCATTATAAGTTTTCCAATATTAATGAAAAACAAGTAAATATTTGCTTGAATTTTATGTAGTCAGGGTATACCGACCTCATGTTATAAAGTCCACATTTCGTTTGAACTACCAGCTAATTTAAAAGTATCATGCCACTCATTATCCACTTTTATAGTTTTTCTCTTGCCTTTTTTTTTTTTTATAAGTTTATTTTGGAATATAAAAATTTACATACATCCCCCTTCCATCATTTTGTTGGATAAAACTTTCTTTGCCAATGAGAACAAACTTTTAAAAAATCACAACATAAAATATATAATTCATTGTATAATATATTTTCAACTTATTTATTTTAAAAAATACATCTGTTTAAATCAATTAATTTTTTTTTTATGAAACAAAATAAAGTATAAAAGTTTTAAGTAACTTCCATCTACTTTTATAATTTCTTCTTAGTACTGTTTGTAAACCAGAGTGTACAGCATTCCCTGACTTTTCTTATTTTTTGTGCTAAAATTTCCAAAATCATTTTTTCATAATATTTTCTTAAATTCAATAGTTAGAAGAACACTTAACAGTATAATTTCTCTGACACTTTAGGTTATGCAAATCACTAGATATCCAGATTAATGTACATGCCAACGTTTTTTTTGTTTTTCTTTCCTTTTCCTCCAAGATTTTGCCAAAAATTTCTTATAGCAAGGAATTATTAAAAATGTTTTGAGAAATTTTACAGTTTACTAAATTTATTTATAAAGCATTATTCGTAAAAAATAAAACGTATGTCAATGAAGGAGTTTATTATATTTCTAAATTTTTTACAAACATATAATAAATTTACTTAAAAAAAATCCACAAAAATTGTTATTGAGAGAATATGCATTTCGGATAAAAATTAGTAGCTTAAAAAAAAGGTATTGGTTTTAATTTTTATTATTTTTTTCCTCTGAAAAAAAATCAATCAATTTGAAAATATTCTTATCTTACTTTTTTTTTTTGTCATTTAATTTTTTAACATGTGTAGTAAACCTAATGCAAGTATGTCACTAGAAAGGTGTGTGACAGTTATTTGGTGGCACATGCGAATTACATTAATTAATTAAAAATATTAAGAGAAATAAAAACCCAGTGCAAGGAGTCATCATTGGCGGGCAGGGTTGGCAAGATTTTGCCGCAGGTGGAAAAAACCATGGTAAAAACCGTCCTGNAAGGAGTCATTGTTGGCGGGTAAGATCTATGGTTATTTTGGTTCTGATTATGAAATGGTCTGGATCAGAGAAGGCGAAACTATGACACTAGGTGGCATGTGACAAGTGTTTTGGTGGCACAAGAGAAGTGAGATACAGTACAAGGTCCCATTTTTTGGACGTCCATTTACCAGAAGAGAAGGGTATTTGTTAAAAGTGACACTTTTTAACAAAATAGTGACAAAAGAACTTTCCTTTTTCAAAAAGAAAATATTTTTTTTTTTGCACTTTTTACCTGTTAAAAAATATAAAGGGATGAGAGTCCTCCAGTTTTTTATGATTTTTACCCAACTTTCAATTTTTGTTCAATATGGTATGGTTCGATAATTTTTGTTTGAATTTGTATGATATGGAAGAAAAAAAAATTTTATCACGGAAACGAATTCTATGAAATCACAACACTGCCAAAAAAAAAATTTCTTAAATTGTATCTTGCTTTAAAAACATAATTATCACCAAAAATCATGCACAAAAAAAATCAAAATTTGCAGATTGTCACAAGTAAAGCAGGTCATAAAGTGATTATCTAAAAGTACGAATAGGAATTATATTAAAAATGAAAATAAAAATTTAAAAACTATGTGGAAATCCCAAACTGCGGAAAATGCAAATGATCAAAACCATGTGGTCAATAAAATCATCACAAATTGAGTACATCAAAAAGTAATTCCTCAAATGTGCTTTCGAAATTTCCCATATATGATAATGTAGCATTAAAAAACAATGAAAATCCAAAGCATTAACTGACTAAAATCATAAATCCATGTGGGATGTGGTTGAATGAAAGACTGTATTAAGACACAGAGATTTTTAAAACCAAGTGAAAATATGTTTTAGTAATTACTGAAAAACCGATAAACAAAACCACACGAATACACTGTGTAATCCTAACTAATCAAGTGTATCAAAAGCTGTGAAAATAATGCGACCACGTAGATTTAAACATTGTTCATTGAAATTTCCATTAATTATGGAGTATATGTTATTTTTATTGAAGAAAATAAAATAAAAACATCTCCAAGACTAGCCAACATTATGGGCCTATTCAAAAACAAGTATGAATTTAAATGCCTTTTCTTTTTTTTAAACCAGGGGCGAGCTCTTACTGCTTATTGAGAGAATCGTTTAACGTTCTGTGTCCCAAGAAACCTCCTTGGAACAATCAGGGTTTTGTGTTTCAGGCTACTGACTGGACAACTCTATGTAATCCTAACTAATGAAGTGTATCAAAAGCTGTGAAAATAATGCGATCACGTAGATTTAAACATTGTTCATTGAAATTTCCTTTAATTATGGAGTATATGTTATTTTTATTGAAGAAAATAAAATAAAAGCATCTTCAAGACTAGCAAACATTATGAGCCTATTCAAAAACAAGTATGAATTTAAATGCCTTTTCTTTTTTTAAACCAGGGACGAGCGCTTACTGCTTCTTGAGAGAATCGTTTAACACCCTGTGTCCCAAGAAACCTCCTTGGGACCATCAGGGTTTTGTGTTTCAGGCTACTGACTGGGCAACTCTATACAGGCACATTTACACTGTATTGGACTTACTGACTCCATTCTGTATGGGGAACTTGTTGCAATGCATGGCGAGCATTTCTCGAACTGTTCTGCCCTTCAAGAGTCCTGCACTTCTTCATATTTTATGACACTCTCCATCAACCGCTGGAGAAACATTTTTGTTTTGGACTGGAAAACTTATCATTCTTAGTAAAGAAAATATAAAGATGTAATTTAAAAAAAGCAATGCAATTATGACATTTTGTAGGATGACTATAGTACCCTTTCACTATGAAAATCCATGTTGTAGGAAGAACTAACAACTTCTTAGGGGGTACATGAATGGGATGAGATCAAAAGAGAGAACACAAACTAATACTTGCATAATGTTGTAAGCAGATGTTTTAACAATGAGTTCTATATAACTGATTGTAAATGCACTTTTTTTAAACAACAAGCTGTGATCCAAACAAGTATATGTTGTGAACTAATTTGAAAATTTGGCTTGACCCACATCACTTTGAAATGTGCCCACAGAGCTCACTACAAAAATAAGTCCAATAAATTATATCAGTAGTTTGCAGGTTAAAAGCCAGATTTTCAATTTAGCCTACGACATATACAACTTATGACACGAGTAACAAGGTCAAGCAACAAGAATAACACTGAATGGATTTAAATCTATGAAGTTTTTCATTGTAATTTTGTTATATATGTTTATAATATTAAATGAATATACTATGTTGTTTTAAAATCTTATATAGTGTAACATTTTTAACGAGGACAACATTCTTGGTCATTAAAGTAGTTCTGTATATTGTTATTCATATAAATAGATTTCATGGTTTTTATATTTATTAAAAATAATGATGTATGTTAAACTTTTTAAAATATAGAGGTAATTTATTGATACAAAATAAATGAAAACATAATAATGGAAACTTAGGAACAACAAAGATATGACTAATAAATTGGGTTTGAATTAATTCAATGAATTAAAAAATTTATCCTCTACAAAAATAAGCATTCGAGCTTAATTTGCAAATTTTACATTTTTGAAATAAACATATGCATAATTTCATATTGTTATAACAGCTGTAGAAATTAATAAATAAGATCTTCGTAACACAATTTTTTTGTTATAAGTTTCTAGGAGAAAGCATATGCGATAGTACTTCAATACTCATTCCAACAAGCAAAACCCACAAGGGCATCATAATGTAGAACCAGTTCATCAGATTGTTATATTGCAGTCGAACGCATAGCATTATCTGAAATGCAACTTTCAGAATAACACAAATTAAATACCAACATTTTCGTCGCATTGTAACATATGAGCGATCATGTCCATTTCTACAATGCGTGGCAATTCGCAAAGTTACGAAAATAAAGAGTTTAAAGTCGAAGATCCATATCGGTATAAATATCAAAAACCAGTCCCAATCAGTTTCTTCATCAAGTCTTAATGTTAACAAAATTAAAAATATTGCAACTAAAAACCATGTTAAAAGAGCTCTGTGTAGAACTGCCATGTTAATCTGCGTAGCAACATTCGATTCACACGGTGTACAAATATATTACTGAATGAAGACTTTAAATTACAAACATAGAATCTGAAGTTAATCTAGAGCCTAACTTTGAAATTTCTTAATCAAAATGATATTTGCATGCTTTTGATGTTTCATTTTATACTAAACACATGCATTGCTTGATATCAGTAAATAATACACAATTTATGTATAATCAATAAACAGAAAGACACATTTAATAGTCATATCTGTCAGAGTGAAATGTTTGTTTACAACTTTCAGCAATTTTCTAGATAGGTTCTAACTACCTATTTCCTCGAAAAACGAGATCTGCACATATTACTTAACTTATAATTTAGATGTAAGTTACAAGCTTGTACTTTCTGAGAGTTAAGACATTGAAATGTACTCCGTTAGCTTTGTTTGAATTTGGAACTTATTACAAATGAAGAGAATTCAATTTTAATATTTCTGATAAAAATAAAATTTAGCTAATATATCCCAGATAACTTTCGAAATTTTGGGAGCCTTCATTATGGGCAAAAATTCCCAGGTATAAATTTTTCTATATTTGTCTTCAATTAGTAACTTTAGATCTATAAAATGATGCCTGTCAAACTGTGTTTTTAAAAATTTATAATAGAAATATGTGCGCTATATTTATTCAATAGATTCTTTTCTTTAATTATTATTTTCTATGGTGCATTTCGGTAATTATTACCTTCCACAGGCTCTATGAATTTTCAAAATGATTGGATAAAAAATGGTTTTATTTGAAAGTTATGGCAATGTAGAACTATGCAGTTTTATTTCTTCATTTATTTTATTTTGATTGTGTATTGGAATAAAAAAGTTATGTCAACTTTCATTATAAAAACAAATTAAAGGAGCATAAGTATTTTATATCCTTCATAAGTGACTCCATCTAAATTTTGTGATTGTAGTCTATCATTTTATTACCTTTTTGTGTTGTCTTATGCATAATTTTATTCGCTTGTTTAATGCATGATTTTATTATGTTTAATGTGGTTCTCAATTTTTTCAGCTATAGGACCCTAAATGATCAACCTTCTTTTGGTGAAACCTGACTTTTTAAATTAAGTTCATTACCATTTGTGAACATATTAACCAAAGAGCGCTGATCACTAATTATTTTGAAGATAATGTATAAAAAGAAAATTTGCATTGCTTTTTATTAAGCTGAATACTTGTTCTTTTTTATGTGTTGAAAAAAGTAAACAATTGATATATTAGTACTGAACAACACTACAAAATCATTTTTTCTACACTTTTGTTCTTTCTGGTGGCTTTATGTTATTAGATTTAGTTTAACAGTTTTTAGTAGTTAATCCCATTAGAATACAGAGTAACTGTATTCAATATCATTTGACATGATGCTGTTTCTTGACGCCAATTCAGGATAGTCAAAGTTTGCGAAAATCATGTAATTTTCTTGGGCTTTTATTCCTTTAGAGAAGCCACAAAAATCCTCTTTCTACAGTATTCATTTTAAAGCTTCCAAGTATTGATGCAGTTTTAATAGGTGCCAAATATACTACGTATATGGGTCATTCTCACGAAAACTGTCATTTTTCAGTTCATAAAATCCCGAAAAAGTAAAGTGAATAAAAAGCTCTGAAACTTTTTATATTAATAGAAATATGTAATGNGTAGTTATACTTTAGTAAAGTGTATAAGCATTCTTGTCCATGTCTCAAATTTAAAAAAAAAAAAAAAAAAATTTAAATAAAACTTAGGTGATCATTATTTACCCCAGAAACAGAGTGATCGTGACTGGGTCACCCTACTGATTCTTTTTAAAAGTGTTTTAATTTTTATAAAACTTTTACTATACATATACTATCATACAACTCTTTAAATTTAGTACATTTGTCAGAAATGGAACTGGAGGATTAAAAACATGTGATAAATCTATCACATGAAGATCTTCGAATCTAATTTTTTTCTCAACCTTTTTTACATGCTTAAGAATAAGATCAATTTCCTCATTTCCCTTTACTAAGTTTTCAATAAATGATATGGAATTTTCTAGAATAGCTTTTTTTTTTTCAAAAAATATTGTTTGTGAGATATCTTTATATCCCTTTTTTATTTTATTGATAAATAGTACTAAAAATAAAACTTGTAAAATGTGACAAATATTCCCCGAGCGGCATTTATGTATATAAGGCATATCGAATTACAGCTATGCTTGTTTTATAATTACATATATCTAGCTATTCAGGGTGATGCAGTACAGTTATTTCAATCTTGGAAATGAGGTCGATGATAAAAATTGAGGATTGTGTAGGAACCCATTAGCCAGAAGTGTCAATGTGTATCTTTATGGGCCCTTCCTTCTTATAGACTGGTATCTGTACCTGTTTAGACTAGTAATTTCTTTTATTTAAATTTTTTTAATTTTATGTAACTTTTATGTTTAATAATAATTATTGTCAAAAATTGCATTCAAATGGGCCCAAAAGTACTAGATTTGTTGTAATTTAATGATTTAGCATTAAATTGCTGATCTCTGCTAGTTAGTTCCCAATTCAATAAAAAAACTTGATCTGGACCCATATAAATTTAATTTTTTACAAAACATAAAATCATGATAATCTAGATAAAAAGTACTAGTGAAAATATGTTTAAACAACCTGTCATTAACAATTGTGGGTTGACATCCCTGTGGCAGAATTTTTTTGGGCTTTCTGTGACATGCCTCTCTAATACTAATATCTTTCTGCAAGATACTTTTAAAAGTAACAACTATACATGTTACTAAATTAAAGTAAAGAAAGGATCATATTTTCGTATCAAATAAAATAATTTTTTAATAAAATATATAATATTTTTTAATTCTAATATTATGGGCTATATTCTCGCATTTTTTAGGGGGAAAACACACTATTTTTCTTTATCGCATTTTGTAAGTAATCATCTCTTTAAAAAATCGTGAAATCCGTAGCAGTAAATCAGACTCTTCAAAAAAGGGTTATTGAATGCTCGTTTTCATTTCGCGATTCAAATGTTGTAATAAAAATTAGAATTTTTCTGCAGAAAAGAAAACCAAATTTTTTATTCCATTAATCTTTATTTTGCATTGTTCTCAAATGAGAGTAGAAAAAGCATTTTTATCCACATGGATGGGCGAGAAAGGTATTTTTTCAATATATTTCTGAAGAAAAGATAAAATCTTTCGAAATTTTCTCCAGTAAGAAAAAAAACTTTACTTTCCAAAAGAAAAATCTTTCTGCAAGACATTCATGTGTAACATTCTGTGACAATCTCGCCGTGTCGCCACGATTCTGCCGTGGGAGTTGACATTTTCGGTTATGGGATGTTATGCAATTCTCGATCCTTATAATGTGTTCTACCTCCCCTCCAAGTTTTCAACCACTGTACTGAATTACTCTGTGTATTTCTATTTAATAATAATTTATATTGTTAATTTGTTTTTTAATTCTTTTTAGAAGAAGGATGTCAAAAGAGCTCGCCAAACTTCATATAAATCTGGCCAAGCTCTAAGAAACAGCTTACAAGGCAGAAAAAGATCTGTCAGAAAAGAAGAAAAATTATCAACCTGTGCATCTTCTGTGGAACAATACTTCGATATTTCGAGCAATTGTTACAGTCTATTAAAAGATATGTGTGTACATGCAGCATTATTTCAAAGACATTCTCACCGTGGCACACTTCTTGCATCTGATATACATAAAGCGAGTGACCTTTATCTTTTAAAAAAGCATTCAAATTTTATTGATAAAACGGGAAGTAATGTTGAATTAAGTGCTTACGTAGAAAAGACATTTCAAGTTAAAGAAGCAGAAAAAACATTTTACTATGGTAAATGCTTAAACTGTCCAGAATTCACTGATTTAAAAGATGTTGAAGCTGACCATTCTCTGAAGGATTATTTTAAACTCACCATGAAAGCTGTCTTTGTTAATAACTCTGAATTCTTTTCATTGGTGTTATCTGACTTGAAAAGGAATCTCGGCATTCTCCCTATCTTACCAGTTTTCATTCATGATTTATGTAATGACGCTTTTTTACTCAAGTATAAACCTGCTCATTTAAAAAAAATTCTTCTTGTCATACATTCCTTATACTTAAATCCTAATTTGTATTTCCAAAACGATCATCTTCACAAAATTTTAGATTTCATCATAGCTTGTGCCATAGAAAATCTCAATTTTGAAGATTATCAACAAGAGGATGTTCTTTCTCTTCAAGATACTTCAGCCGAAATCCTTCATGATATATTCATTAAAAATCAAGCAATTTCTTCACAAGTATACAATTACATTTTGAAGAAACTTACTCAACCTTATAAAGAAACTGAATTTCAATTAATTTCTTGTTGTGGGTCTTTGACTGTTGCTCATGCTATGGGCTTATCTGCATTAACTTCTATACTACCTTTGATCTTCCTTAATTCTTCTATGAAAGAACAAAATATTTTGAACAAATTGACTAAAAGATTAAATTCTAATGACATGAGCACTGAAAGATATGCTAAAACGTTGCAAAGCAAACTTTTTGAAGCAAGTCAAAGCCTTGTTGAGTATTCTTTACATAAAGCTTTAGCTTTACCACATATCAGTAAACTATATACAATAGCATCTGATCATGACAAAATTTCTAAAAGTAAAATTAAAGGACCACCTCTGATGAGTGACTTGTGCTGCTCGATATTGAAATATTACGGTGAAACTATGAGTACTTATTTACCATTACTTCTGAATGCATCAGATGAAGCAATACCTTTAATAGACATATTTGAAGAAATTCTTCAACAGGAAAGTGCAAGAAAGACTGAACTTACATAGTTCTCATTTCATTAGAGTTCTTAAAACTTTTAATCTTATATTTTAAATTATCTTAACAGTACAAAATAAATTTTATATCTGTAGATGGAAATCTTATATTCAATATATAATGATGTACAAAGGGGAGGAATATTTTTCTATGTTTTTTAAGTTATAAAACTTGTTTAAGTATGATAAATTGTGATTTAAATTTATTATTATTAGAGTAAAACCTCTCTGGAGCGACCACTCTCCTCTCCACTGTAAAATTGTCATTAAAGAAGGTTGGTCGAACTTAGAAATTACCTCCATTGATTTCAAAATTTCAGAGGTATATGATTTTTTATTGCAAATGCTTTTAATTTTAGTCAGTGTCATTTTCTTGGTGTGATAATAAAAATGATCTCAATTGATATAATTATGTGTTTAAAAAAAATTAACAAATTATAAATGATACCGCTATTTAAAATAAATAATGATATTTTTTGTTAAAGTTTGCATTTAATTTTATATGATAAAAATTAGTTAACTTTAAAAAATGTGAAGAGGTTTGTTTGATTTTTCTAAAGTAATTTTTTGTTTCTAATATAAATTTCAACACTGGAAGTAAATCATTGATAGCATCATCTTTAGTACACTCTGACTGCAACGTGAGGTTGCATCGTCAAAAAGAGCTCTCTAAATATTTTGAATATATTTTAATCTACTTATTTGTTTTGTTAAATTTTTTGTTTTAATATTTTTTCGTGTTTCCGTATTTGACCTTTTCCGCATTTCGTGCAGGGGTTTACCTGGCCACTGGGAGAGGTTTTAATGGTCTCTCCTAAAGGTTTTCTTCAACACAAATTCTGGGGGGAAAAATTTACCTCCGAAAAGCGATCGTATATAGACGTGGTCTTTCCTGAAGGTTTCAGTGTATTATTATTTGTAACCTTTTCAAATACTTTGAGTTTTCACCTCAGAAACTGTGTACAATTTGATTTTTTTTATGTTTGTGCCTTCTTTTGTAATTATATAATATAAAAATGAAAGAGCTATAATATTATCTGGTAGTGCAAAAATAATATAACCTGATTCACAAAATTACAAAGTTATGTGGTTTTTCAGGGGTGCATATTTTGTATTTCACTTCCTACACAAAATACTGACTTGTCAAATTTTAGCTTTATTTTGCGGTTGTAAAATGTACAAAGAATTGTATTAACATTCAAGATAAAAGTTTTGCTAGGAAAAAGTTTTTAACTTTTGAATTGCGTTGGCAAATTTGTAATTAAAAAAATTCTTGTTTAACAGCATTTCTTTCTGGAGAAAAATTAATTTGCTTTGCAGGAATCTTTCTACTGAATTTCATTTATGGACATTAAAATTGACTAAAATGTATTTCGATTTTTTTTTCATTCACTTAATTTAAAAGACATGTGCTTAAAACTTATTAATACCAAACAATAAAATTTTTCCGGCATTCAAAAGAGTGATACTGAGACACAAAAAAAAAATCTAAAAAGGAAAAATTACAAAAAAATTATGTTTTAAATTTTTCCTATGAAAGTATGATGATCTTTTAAAGTTTTGCTCCCACAATTTTCTTATTTTTAAAATTGTTATTTTCTGTTTAAATACAAAACCTTTGTACTTGGAAAAAAAATCTTCCATTTTAATTTCTTCAAACTCATGGTTCTCTTCCTGCACAACTTCGGTGGGTGGTTTTCTAGCACTGACGTCATATATTTTCATCATACAAATCAAAAATAAAGTTAAAATATTAAATTATTTATTTACTTCACAGATTTTAAATATGGGGTATTTTAAAATATTATTTTAATGAAAATAATAGTCTGTCTAACGTATTTTAGTTTTTAAAAAGATTTTTACAAATAATTTAGACTATAAGTGTTTGAGAGTGTAAAGACTTTGGAAATGTGCAAAATGTTATTTAGTACATTTATATCTATTTTGAGAGAAACATGTTTAAAATGTATTAAAGTAATATAATAATTTTGTGTACCTTTTAATAAATGTATCAATACCTTTCATTTATTCCTTTTGGAATAGACACTAGACTAGACATGTAATGTGTGTACTTGTCCAGATTTTCATTGCCCAGTTATTACACGAACCCTGCCAATTTCATTGGGTGTCCAATGCCCGGTATCCGTTTTTGTTTTACTCAACATATTCAGAATTACATTAACCTTAAAATTATTCATAATGTAGTACTATTAGAAATCTATGTATTGCATCAATTTTTTTTAATAATGAAATAATTGTTTAGGAGTGACATATTTTACTTTTGTGCAGAATTTTAATTCACAAAAGTCTTGGTAAAATGGACACCTTTGAGAAATATCGTAGTACATTCCTATGTAACTAAGAAGAGGGGAGGGTCGAGAGACATGTAACCGGCCTTCTACTCGGATGACATGTAATATAGCGTAAAACAGTTCTTTACAATTTAAGTTTACTACATTATCTTAAATTTAAAGAAAAGTGTGATTAAAGCCGTAAACCGATAGCGGGTGCCTTTGTTATTTTGTATCAGACATGTATGCATCAGTAAACCAGCAAGAAATGATACTGCACTCAGAACTTAAACTTTTTAATCAATTTTCAAAGAACCAAAAAATAGCAGTAAAAAAATTTGCGAAACATTTAGATTTTCTGAAAAAACAAGACGACTGCTGCTCTTCCGCTACACCCCTGCTTTTTTTCTTGTCAACTAGAATTTATCTTCAAGCAAAATTCCATTCACGTTTCTAATGTACAAAGGGATTACAGTCCAGCAAAATTTCGATCATTTTGCGACTAAGTGAGCTCAATTTCGAATTGTGCTGGTGACGTCAGTTGTGATTCCCGGTGTAGGGCTCTTTGCTTGCTCTCCAGCAGTGAGACTCCACATTTATGACGAATAACAACAAAGAGAACGAGTGGACTCAAAGGAAACCAATGAGAAGAAAACATGTATAGAAAGAAAGTGTATATACAAATACATATGGGAGAAGTAAAGCATTATCGCAACACCACATAATATGTCATGGTGTTTAAGGTTCCATAATTTCTTGACAAACGGCATGATGGTCAAAATGCCTATACCGACCGCTTTTTTTCCCCGATAAGATATCTGGATCAGGGTGAACTTCAAACCTTCACCGGGGAAAAGTTAAACCTCAGCCCACCACAATGCTTTTTTATGTGTAAAAAAGTATCCGACCGAAACAATACTAGTGCTAACCAATTTTGAGTTTAGCCTCCTTTAGTGAATAATTTAAACCTTTTCCCTCGTATTTTTTTTAAAAAAAAAGGCTCAAGCTAGCATATTTAGAAACGACTTGAAAAATACGATGGTGTAACACCATTTTCGAATCTTTGGAGGACCGTTGCAATAATATTAACCCAAGATTCAATTATGGCTGCCTTTTATTCTGCCTCAGACTGAAACTGCCTGTCTTGGTCATATACAGTCTTCCTTAGGATAACCCCCTGACTCTTTTGGGGGGAGGGGGATTGAAATCGAGGGAAAATTCAGGCCTTTCCATGACATGAAATATTTTTTTTAATTTTTGTTAAAGCTCAACAGCAAGTGGTAAGGTCGTATATGTTATAAGAGTCCTAGTTCCTGCTGTCAGATGCCCACGGATTTTGACATAATTAGGGAGGGGCGAAATGGTGAGGGAGTACATGATTTCTGCTCCTCCGATTTGCACTTGAAATAAAAATGCAATGGACTCGAAGGATGCAATGGATGCTTATTCTGGAAAACTCACCAATTATTTTATAGGTTTTTTTTCCACTGAGCCCTGGACACACGTGACCTATGATGTAGCATGAAGGGACGCTTTGTTGGCAGGTAGGAGCTTTATTTACGTTGCAATTCGCGATCGCAACGCGTGAGTACACCCTCTAGCGGAAGCCTGAAAATATCAGGCATTTATTTATTAAATTTTCATTTAGATGCCATTTTCTAAGAAGCAAAATTTCCCTAAGGAAAAGGCCGAGGAACTTGAGAAAACTCTCCAGAACATTGGTAAATCTTTCAGAAACAGAACACNCATAAGGGCATTTTTTGCACTTTTTAAGGGCATTAATTGAGATTTTTTAAGTCATCAAAATCCGGGCTCTAGTCATCACTTTATAAATTTTTACAGTTTTGACCACCTTATGAGCCACGATGGCTCAGTGGTTAAAGCACTGTGAACTGTTATTGAACTGGGGTTCGATAACCCAGTGGTGGCTTGAAGCCTACCCAGCTTCAGATGGATGGGTACTAGTTTGTCTGTGAAGTAAAGGTGGCCTGTGCTCAGTGCTGACCACATGGCCACAATCACGCAGTTCGTCAAGGAATTGTGGAGCCTTAATCTCCATGAATGGGCTGTTACGGGAATACTTTACTTTTAACCACACTGTACAGCTGATTTTCATCAACATTCAAAAGCACAACTCTCCAATTATAATTTCATGTGCTTACCTTTCAACAATTCATTTGTCATTATTGACAAACGAAAATAGAAAAGATCTTTTCTTAAACTTTAAAAATTAAGATTCGTACAAAGATTTTATTACTAAGAAATTTTTCTTTAATGACCGTCTTCATATGATTACGGATATCCAGTCCGAGAAGTTTATAACCTTGATAATCTATATCCATTAAAAAAATTTTGACAATTCATGATGTAGAAACTGTGGCCATAGATCCCGATTAAAAATTAAATAGTGCTACTCACTTTTTAAAAAAGATAACAAAGTATTTCAGATTTAGCTCACTCTATTTTGGAGTCAACACGACTGTCAACTAAATATGATCACTAAAATTATTAACACGTCTCGGTAGTTAAACTGTCTAATTTTATTTCGTAACAGGCGTTGTGAACAACCGATCCATTTTTGGGTTTCCGACAGTCAGTGTTCAACTCCGTAGCCTTGATTTTTTCTTAAACACAATTCAGAAAACAAGGAAACTCGTGGATCAAGCATTGAGACAAACTAGCTATTCTGGATGACTTGTTGATGCAACTAACTTGTATTTATGTTACATAGGGAGAAAAACACGAAAACATCCCACGATTAACTCACGATGGACCGTTTACCTCTGAAGATATTTCTATGTCAGCACTGTGGTCAGTGCCAAATTCGTATCGACCAGTCATCGCTGGTATTCGAACCTGTGTCACTTCATTAAGTGGTGAGCGCTCTACACCCTGAGCCACCGTTGTTTGGTAGTCAAACTATCCTATTTCTTCTTCGACGGCCAGTTAGTTCACCCGCTTTTGAAAGGAGCCTATAACCTGCTTTTTAAATCTTCCTTCCCTACTTTGTGCTGAGTTGACCACGCGGTTTTAATTGTTGAGCGTTCATAAACCTACAGTAATCAGTTGTTTCGCCATACAAATTTATCTAGTGATTGTAAAAGATGTGAAAATATAGTTATATGTTACTGATCACACTGGGGAACGATTTTTTTTAGCTTATTTTGTTTTCTGTTGCATTGAGATTTTTTGGCAGATCTCAGCTTCTATCGCTGTTAAGTACACAAGAGGGCGACCTTTGTGCTAAAATACAAACTAAGGTAAACAACGTTAAAGAGCACAAAATTTCATTTCTTTTCTCATTTCTTTCTGTTGCACTGATGAAGGTTGCCCTTTGAGCATCCGAAACAGCTGTCGGCTTTTAGTAATATTTTTGAGCTCTTTAACGTTGCTTACCTTAGTTTCTATCGCTGTTGTTGTTGTAGCTCATTTACGTTGAACTAGAGCCGCACAATGGGCTATTGGCGACGGTCTGGGAAAAATCCCTGAGGATGATCCGAAGACAAGCCATCACGATTTTGATCCTCTGCAGGGGGGTGGCACCTCCGCTTCGGTAGCCCAACGACCTGCACACGAAGTCGAGCACTTTACGGTAGAACAGTTTAGCGAGGACCAATACCACTTACCCTCGGTCCCTACTCAAACTGATCCAAGTGGTCACCCACCCGCACACTGACCACAGCCAGTGATGTTTGACTTCAGTGATCTGCTGGGAGCCGTGACTTAACGATCAGTCCACTGCGGGACCAACTTCTATCACATGTCTAATTTCAAATCAACAACCGGTTTCTCTCAACCTGCTACAATTTTCATGTATATTAACATAATAATCCAAACCTGGATTCTTTAAAATTCACCTGAGNGGTAGAATAGCTCTTTTTGAGGTAGCCAATCAACTATGAGTTAGAATCTTTTTGGGAAAGGCTAAACTAGATCTTAGCCTGAGGCGGGGTGTGATTTTCAGCGCCATCTAGTTTTCAAGTTTGAGGCTAGAATCCACTTTAGGACCGCCTTAAGGCGCACTTGACGCATTTTGTCACCCCGTCGGCGGGATGCGAGAGAGAGAAAGGTAGATGTACG